AATGAAAGAGTAAATAATTCTTCTGCAAAAACTCCAGAAGTGACATTATTGAGATCAACACAGCATTTGTTATGAATAATTTAACTACAAACTGCCAGGACATCTCATTTCAAATCAAGTTTAACTGTTAGAATAAATTACTACCAACCAACACTCATCACAGAGTTTCAAAGTCCTCATTCTCACTGGTATTCAAAAGCTCTTCAGGTTTTCACTAGCACCAAAACAAATAAATGCTAAAAGCAAAACAGAATTAAAAGCTCCAAACCTTCACAAAATAGAGCAGCTAACCAAAAATCCCTCTTGAGGTTCTTTTTGTTTGATAATGCTCTCCTCTCCCGACTAGCCTGAGCTGACTGGAGTCAATTTCAACAGGACCAGTCGCCTGCTAAATTAAGGTAATTTGCAAATAAACAAATACTTGCAGATAAACATTCAAATGAGTGTGTGGTGTTACAACCATGTCAAACCTAAAAGAATGCCATGCCTAAGCTGAACACAAACATTGAGCACAAATGTGCAACAGGATGACTGCATGCTAGCAGGTGAGCCTTCTTACACACCAGTCTTAAAACACTTTTAATGACAAGTCATTAACCAGAGAAACAAGAGTACAGCAAGACATGGAAGAAAACCACTGAAATCCCAAGCTTAAATCTTGTCCTCACAAAGACACAATCTGCCTGACAACTAAATGCCCTGAAGGACAGTCCAGTCTGTGTGGGAGTAACGTCACCTGTGCGTAAGAACAGAATTTAGCTTTAAAAATACATGTGTTGTAATAAACTGGCACAGGTAAACGTGTGCTTCGGAGATTAACATCTTGAGCTAGATTAGAAAGAATTATTTCCTCCTCCTATGGAGCACTGCAAGCCTTATTAGAGCTTGCCTTCCTGTACAACATCTGGCACAGACTGACACAAGCTACTTGACTAAAGGAAATGTTAGTCTAGTGACACATCAAAAAACGTTTATCTCTGTGTCACGAAAAGCTGTGCTGAAAAACACTACCCTATATACGCTTCCCACTTCATTCATCTCCCTAATCTATTTCAAATCACTTCAGGGATCATGAGGTGCCCTAGCTGGAGCGCTCTGGATGCTGAAACGCTCTTCCCACAGCCCAATTACTCAACTCAGCACAGGGTGGGGTTTGCAGCCTCCACACCCATCGGAGCTGGCTGCAGGTGAGTGCCGTCGCTCCCGTCCCTCTGGCTGTGCCATGCACCTGCAGGCATGAGCTCATAGGACAGAAGAACAGCAGAAACACTGAAAAGAGATTTGGGAAATTTCCTGCAAAGAAGAAAGATAAATAACAGTGACACCTCCAAGGCTTGAGGCTGACGGAATGGTTGGTCCCCGAAAGCTCACGAGAGCTCCAGCTGACTCTCTCACGTTACTCCTCACAGCACAATCAGGCACAAACAACACGCTGGTAGCGCCAAGGGCTGGCAGAGGTATGCCCAGCTTTTGACACCAGCTCCCCAGGAAAAGAAAAGGAACTGGGACATCCTCCTCCTCCTCCCATGTACACCATCACATCACACTGAAGGCACCGGGCTTCTGGCCATCAGAAACTGTCAGTAGGAGTTACTGGCAATAGGTACACGCAGTGAAAATCTACCAGTGATTCACCTTCTCAAGTATGATCAGAAAGGCAAACTCTTACCTAAGTGTTTTTTTTGGAAGACAGAAAACAAGGGCTAAACCTTGTAAGAAAATTGGTCTGTTTATGTGAAATCAATTTGGATCAAAGCTAACAGTTTCTCAAAAGAGAAGGGAAAAGATGTACAGATAATGGCAGAAAGAAACAGACAATCTGCTCATTATTTGGTATTTGGAAGAGACGGGGGAAAAGTAAAGTGACTTCACAGAAGTTCACTTTTATCTGCATGACTTTCTACACATGAAAAACAACACAGACAAGCCCAAGCCCTTACTGAACAGTAAGGAAATCGCAGAGACTTCGTCAAGTTAACCACACAGAGCCCAGAACCAGCAAACTCACGTTCTTCACTTTATCCTCTGTTTTCTGTGTGCTTGTTCACTGTTGGACTTAATTTTAGAAGGGTAACACACCTTTTTATGTCCTTCCTTTTTTATAATCAGCCACACAATCACCTTGTGCAAGAACATAAACCATTGATACAGAACTAGCTGGGGATATTCCACTAGTTTAAACTCCAGCTGACCTAGAAAACACCAAGACCAAAACTCTGAAGAGCACCTTAAGAATGTATATAATTATAATAAGCAAAAGCATTTTTGCTACACTGAAAGAGATTCAAACCGCAAATGTTCATTTCTTCTACTACTAGAATCAATAAATCATGGAATTGGAATTCTGTAAGGAACTGACCATCAACTTGAAAACACCAAGGTTCCTTCTGCTACAACAGGGGGCACAGCTTCCTCTTCCCCTCCAAATTCCAGCCACAGCTCTGCACACAGACAATTTGCCTGAAATTTCCCAGGAAAGTGATGGGAAGGCACCTTCACTGGCATTAGCTGGTGACCAGATCAGATTTAGAAAGACTACTGAAGTAAGAATTCGGAAATCTCCAGTAACATTTATGCCTGAGATGAAGAGAGGAAGAAAAGACAACTATTGCTCCAACTGGACTGAAGCCACACAAATAATTTCTGATTTCAAAACTACTTTAAGGAAGTTTCATTTACTCTTCCAAGTCTTGACTCTTCCACAACATATGCTGAAACTGCTCTCATCCAGCCTGGGAAGCAAAAAGGCCCAAATTTGACATTTTATTTAAAATAGTTCAAGGGAAGTAAGCAGTAGACAAGGAACAGATTTCCAAGCCAAGAGGACACATTTCCTCTTAACTCTGCTCACAGGTGAAGCTGGAGTGGGTGTTTCCGTAGGCCTGACACACACAAGTGAATTTCTACCTCCTCGTAGAGAAGTTCAGATGGAGTAAAACAAAACAGATCTAAAAGCAGCACTTTAATTATAAAATCCATCCCAATATCAGCCAGGAGAAAGTATCACAGTTTGAGGCTTTTCCATGTTTCGCTTTTTTGCGCCACAAGTGTCATTCAAGTGCACCATTCCACAATTAAAAAATTGCCTCAGAAGAATCTAAACATTTCTCCAAGAAGCTTGCTCTTCAGAAACTGCTTAGTAGATTTGGAAGTGCGAAAACCCAAAACAACCTCCACAAAGAAACAACCCAGCAAGTAAAAAGCTGCAATTATTTTTGGGACGTCTGAAAACAGAGGTGGAAAGGCATTCCCTGCATTCATGGGCAGGCACCATGTATGTTCTGATTCGAAAGGATATTCCACAGCTCAGCTTTGAAGTGTAACCCCTTCCTTTATGGGTTGAACCCACAGAAAAATCTGTATGAAATTTGTCTTATTGAATTTAATGAGCCAAATTCTCCCCAATGCACTTCCACTCCTTAACAGAGCACAACAAGGACCAACTTGGTCCTGCATGAACAAAGTACAGAAGTTACAGCTTGAAACACAGTGCAATCCAACCCAGGAGTAATTAGAAAGACCCAGTTTTTCCTGGTTCAGCCCAGCATTCCAGGACGTACCCCATCACCACACAGCACATTGGTAACCTGGCTACTGGCACATGGTTCAGCACCTGTTACCAATAACCTGATGATGAGCTTGTTAAGGCTTCTCACATTGAAGATTACTCAGGTCTATGAAATCATGGAGTGTAGCTTATTTCAAGCATCAAAATTCAACAGATAGCATTAGTGTGCTAAGCAAAAATAAAAGAAAATCTGTTTAAAACCAACTTGTCAAAATACTTATCTCAAGAATTAGAAATTTCTTAACCTACCTTCAAGCCTGTAACTGTACAAAAAAAAATTTAAGTAACCTTTCAAAAACAAGGGGAAAAATTAACCTCACAGTGAGAGTGAGAATAGTTCAATTCAGCAAAAAGGAAGTTTACACACAACTTTCACCAACTGCAAGTAACAATCATTGAAAGATCTTTATTAGAGAGCAGCACCTTATCAGAACTTGCCGCATCGTCCTGTGCAATGTTTTATGTTTAAATTTAATGACTCCAGGCTGCTGTTTACCTGCAGTGATTCCTTTGGGCCAGAAGCAGACCAGCCACAAACACGTTTAGGCTCTGACACTGCTAACTTATTCACTCCCATGTTCCTTACAGACTCAGATGAAAACACAGATAACCTTAGGGGCGAGGGATCCCTAATCCCTGACACCCGGACACAGGCACTCCAGCTGGGAGTTAAAGAGCAATTAACACGGCCCCGCTAAGACTCCCTTTCCACAACAACAGCCCACACCGTGTGTATATTTACCTACAATGTATCATAACAACCCCTCCGCTGCAGCTGACAGGCTGCTGGAAACCCAGGGCAGAGGCAAGGCAGAAACAAGCTGTGCAGCTGCCCTGTAACAATAACACTCACAGTTCATCAGAGTGACTTTCTCCACAATGGTTAGCTCAAAAAACATCGTTTTCTTCGTTATCATAATTTTCTTCTCACAAAAAAGTTTAATCTGAGGGAAAAGTAGTTTTCCTCATTCACTCATAGTCTGACAGGCCTTAATGTTCTTGTTTAAAGGCAATGGGAGCACAGAATTCAGTGGAACTATAATGTTTAAAATAAAATCTGCAATGGAAACTTATTACTGACCATACTCCCACAAAAAAAAAAAACAACCAACTAAAACTTGCAAAAAGCTTCTGAAAAATTATTTAGATTCAAAAATGAAGAGATTGCATTATGTTAGATTTCAGCTTTTGAACATCTTTTCTCGAAATGCTTTACAGCAACTTCTGATTTCAGTCAATCCATGAAACATTTAACATAGAAAAAAACAGGAATCAAGGCAAAAAATTCATACCAAGGAAATAATAATAAAAATTGTATAAAAAAAAAAATCCGTTAAAACATTCAGCTATTTTTATCATTTCCGAATGCTTAGCACACGAACACAAGAAACGGGGAGGAGGCACCATAAACACCAGATTAAAATATACCCACCCCTAGCTGAAAGCTTTTTGGTGTTGATAATTTTGGCAGCGTACTCTTGTCCTGTGGTGATTTTCATACACCTCCTCACGACGGAGAACGCCCCTCTGGAAACAAAAACCGGGCAAAGTGTCAGTCCAACTGAAACACTCCACTGCCATTACCAGCTAGCGGGCAGCACGGAGGGGTGTGATGTCGGCAGAATTAAAAAAAAAAAAAAAAAAAAGGCAAAAAAAAAAAAAGGCTTTTCTGACAGGGACGGTCAGCATTGATTTTATTCAGCTGAACAGTGAACTCCGCGGGGTAGAAGCCTTGTGACCAATCCCGCTAGCTGGGGCGGAGGGCGGGCGGGTTTTACTCTGTGTCCATGCCGGCACACCGCGGGGGACACAGGGCGGCGGTGGCCGTGTCCCCCTCGGCGGTGACACCGACACCGGGGGGGCGACACCCAACATGGCGCTCAGGGCTGCGCCTCCCGCCCCGCCGCTGGGGGGCGCCCGCCGCGCTCCGACACCCCTCACGGCCCGAGACCCTCACCCCGCCACAACCAAAGAGCTAAAAATAGCAATAAATAATAAATTGTAATAAATAGCGGCACAGGGGGTTCAGAGCAACTCCCCGCCACCCGCCCAGAGCCCCTCGCCGCCGCAGGGCTATATGGCTGGAACCCGGGCACTCCCGCGGAACTCCCGGCAGCGGTGAGGGCGGCCCCGGGTGCGGCTCCCCCCAGGGCTCACGCACCGAACCCTTCAGACCACGTCCTTACTTTCCGAGCTCTTCGAAGAGCTGGTACTCGTCGGTGAAGCGTGTGCAGGTGGTCGAGGCCATCATGAGGACGGGCGGCCGCCGGTGACTCCGGCGGCCGTGGACGGCGAGGCGGGGACGGCGGAGGGGCTGTGAGGCGAGGCGAGGTGAGGCGAGGCTCCGCGCCGGCTTCTTCTCCTCCTCTTCTTCCCCGCCACCGCCTCCTCTGGTGACGGTGTTGCCTCCGCGCCCTCCTCCGGTCTTCCCTCTCCCCTCCCCTCACCCTTTAGGGAAGCAAACAAACAAATATTTAAATAAATAAGTAAGCAAATAAATAAATAAATAAATAAATACGTATCGTCCTCGCCCCTTCACGCCCGCCAGGGAAAGCTAGCGGGAAAAGGGAAAGCAAAACCGGGGCGGGGGGCGCGGCGCTCCCTTCCCCTCCCGCTGCTCCCCCGCCTCAGCGCCTCAAGCCCGTCCGCCGGTGCCGTGCCTCCCCCTAGCGACCCCGGCCCGCGACTCCCTGCCGTCGGGGACGGCGTGACACCCACAGGAGACTCACGCCGGCGGTCGGAGTACGGGGAGAACCTGCGCTCCGTCCCGCCGGGAGCGAACACCGACCTTCCCCCGGGCGCTGCCCCGGGACGGCGGCAGGAGGCGCCCTGAGGGAAGCGGATGCACCTGCGCGCCCCCACCCCGCGCGCCGCTCCCTCAGTGGCCGCCTGTGACGTCACGCCTCGCCGGAGCGTGAGGGAGGGCGCGCGCGGTGGCAGCGCGCGGCGGGAAGCGCGTGCGGGTGCGCTCGCGGGCAAGGGGCCGTGACGTCGTCAGGGGCCCCCGCCGCGTGAGGGGAGGGGAGCGGGAAAAGGGACGCGCACGGACACACGGACACACAGCGGGCTCTTTGTGACGTCACAGCAGCTCCGGCCGCGCGCGGGGAGGGGAACACCCCCCCCCACACACACACCCCCACACACCGGGCACCTCGTGACGTCACGGCGGCCCCGGCCCCGTGCGGGGGGAGTGGGGGGGTGGAGGGGGGGCACACACGCGCACACCGCGCGTGCGCCGGGTCGCGACCGTCACGGCGGCCGCGGGGCAGCTGCGCCCGCCCGGGAAGGGACCCGCGGCAGGGACCGCGCACATCCAGCCCCGCCAGGCGGAGCAGCCCCGCCATTCCAACCCGGCCTTCATCCCGCGGGAGGGGACCGCCAGGACGTGGAATAACGCCGAGAGCCGGGAAGGGCTGGGGGCACTCGTGTGAAATGTCACTGCGAACAGCTGTCTCGGTCTCTTCCGCAAAATATCCTGAGTTGGAAGGGATCCACAGGGATTATCAAAGTCCAGTTCCTGGCCCTGCACAGGACTCCCCAAAATCTCACCGTGTACCTGAGAAGGTTGTCCAAATGCTCCTTGAGCTCAGGCAGCCTTGGAGCCGTGACCACTTGAACACGGAATGGGGGCACCAGGCCGCCCCAAGGGCATTCGATCCTTTTTGATAAACCTGAATTGCTTTTGTTCTTTTCTGATCAACTAAGTGCTGGTGAGCCAAGCAAAGAGTTAAATCCATACCTGCACACAGCTTTAAGCAGCAGCTTCACTACAAAAAGCAACCTGGAGCATCTCCATCCGCATTTGGATAAGTGAGAACACAGACGCACAAAACACACCCACAAAGGGCATCACATTAAACCTCTGCAGTTCCCAGAATCAGAATCCAGAGCTGTGGTCTCGTATGAAGAGTGAAACCCTGTCAACCCTTCCCGAAAGGAGCGTGAATGGATGACAGGAACTCCAGAGCCTGCACACGAAGGTAGCTTTCCTCCACAAACACGCTGAACTCATGGCATAAAGGTGGCAGCAAAGGGACTTTGGAACTCGTGAGCAAGTACAAAGCATTTACTCCACCGGTTCCTCTCCCGGGAAACACTCTGTGCAGCAGTGCCAGCACACACAGACTGGAGAATGTTTCAATTTAGACCAGTGAGAACGGATCTATTCCCACATCCGTGAAGGGAATGCACATTACAAGCACTCAGAACAGCAGCCTATTTCCCAATCCCCTCAAACAAAAAAGTAACGTGGAAGTTGTGCATCCTTTTGTGCAATACCTGCATAAAGAACACAATCAGCAGTGCTGAACCCCCAGGGTGGGCTGATGATTGGATTGAAGGGGAGTTCCAGGTTCCTTATCCTGATGTACAAAGACATGAGTAAATGAAACATTCCCCGGGCACTACATCACCTTTTCCCTTATGGTTTATTCTGAGAACAAGCATTCACCCCAAATATCTGCTACTGCTGTGCCATACAGCTATTACTTAATTAAAAAAATATTCAGAAGAAAATATTAAATTCAATTTACTTGCCTGTTGATTTTTTTGTGGTTTTTTTTAAATCATTACAAGAATGAGTGCTCCAAACTGAGATTTTTTTTTTATTTTTGGTTTTTTGTTTGTTTGTTTGTTTGTTTTTTGTTTCACATTTCCCAATGTGAAAAAAGACAAGAAGAGGCCAAGGAGTTTCCAGAGAAATATGAAGCATGGATTTTATCACAGGAGGTAAGGGAAGAAAGTATTTGCTTACGAGATCGATATCACAGGAGTAGATGAATTTCCCTAAGAGAAACACTAGGGAAGTGATGAGCAGCTTGGAAACACTTCAGCTGAGAGGGTTTTTTCTCCTTACAACAACCATGTCTTAATTGTAGCTGCCTCTTGAGCTGAAAGAAAACCTTAATTTGTAGCTGCCGTTTAAACATTTCGTACATTCCCCAAATTCCTCCTGAGCAGACCAAAGCAGGCAGGATGGCAGCCAAGGATCTGGTCCATGAGGTGAAATTCTAAATGCTGGGTAAAGCTTCAGATTTCCATTAAGGCCACAGAAACAATTTATCTATTGTTGAAGAACCTCAGATCTCAACAATGAACAAAAAAAGATGCTTAAAAGCCATCCCAGGGCACATTTTTTCTTATCCAAAAGGCTTTCAAGAGAGCTTTCAAGACTGTAAGAAACTGAAGTCCTTCACTTAAAATTCCTGAAGTTTAACAAAATATTACAGCTAAGTGGAATGAATTATATATTTAACTTTATACTGGAACATTTATTGTGGCAAAGGAAATTGTATTTATTTTACGAGTTTGCTCTTCAGTGAGGTCTTTGCATTGTATGGCTTCACTTTTAGACAGCCAAAGTAAGGTTTTTGTTTTATTTCTGACCTTGCAAATACAGATTTTTAATTTTCTTATGTTTTGCAGGAGTCAAAAGAGCTTCCAAGAGGTCATTTGTGTGTACTGCTCATTCTGAGGGCTGCAGAAAACCTGAGTAATTTGGGGTTTAGATAAATACTCACTCTACAAGCAGATGGTCTTTAACAGAAATCTTGGTCCTTCCCAGGGCTGCACATATTCCTGGGGCAAAGCACTTACTGCCTTGGGGAAACTCATGGACAGCACTGGAGCAGCCAGAGGTACATCACTGCAGTAAAGCAATGAAAAGATCAAAAATATATGTGGAAACCAGGAAAGATGTAAGAACAGGATAAAAAAAAGAGGATAAACCGGGAGAAGTCACACAGAAAATACATGGGTCTGCAGTTCATTGTAACAGCTGGAACTAGAGGCACAGATTTCAGGTCAGTGTGGAATTCTCTGCTGTACCACGTCTTGTACCTCTCTTATTTTCTTACTGGAGCTGACGGACCTTGAAAAGTAAAGCTTCTTAGGGGCAAAAGGACTGGTGACATGGTGTCTGAGACTCGCTCCCTCCTTTCCAAGTGATGAGGGTGGCCTAAAGCCTGTCCCAACACCTTCTGCTGAGCAGCTCCCTCCCCACCAGCTTCCCACCAGTGCTGACTCCAGAAGCTGGTGCTGCTCCCAGCCATGCCTGGACTGTGGTGGTCTGTGGAGATCCAGGGTGGAGCTGCTGCACCTGCCCCAGGGTTTGTTTCCTCCCCCAGGAGAAGCCCTCTCACTGCTGCTGTCACACTGCGTGTATATTGGCACTCGGAGAAGCAGATCCTTGAAGGTTCCCCAAAGAAAAGGAATTATTTATCCATGACTTACACACTCCTGGCAGGCACCTTGCTGCCCGGGCAGGGCAGTGTGTGTTCTCTCTCTGCCTCTGCTGCTGGAGCACTCTTAGGTGGGATTAATTTACTCCTCAGTGAACCAGAAAGATGTTGGCAGAATAAATGATTTGATAGCTCAGTGATTCTGTCATGCTCTTGCTATGCAGGAGACCAAAAGTTCTCTCTGGCCTAAAAAAGCATCACTCCTGACAGGCTGGGAGGCATTGCTGGCCACTTAACTCCTGCCTCTGGAAGAAGCACAGGGAGAAAGAAATGAAAAATTAATGCCTTATTTTTTAATCTTTCTGTGTGGGGCAAGGACAAAAATACAGGCTGAGCAAAACAGATGTTTTCATTTGTTTGCACTGGAAAGAAATAAGGAATGCTCTGACAGGATTTGAGTTTCACCTCAGGATTTTAAAGAATAAATTCTTCTTCTCCCTTTTTTTTAATTTGAAGTATTCTTAATTAAGAATACGCCTTTAAAATAATGCTTTTGATGAGAGTGACTTCTTTCTAATGCACTTGTCCTGGTTATTTTGAGCTGAGTAATTTTTAATGAGTTCTTAGCAAACAAAATATTCCATTATTTACACAGTTCTTCTTACAAGCAATTAAGAGTCAGTAACACTCCATGAATAAGACCTTTTGCCACTGGCTTTCATGACATGGATTTGAAATATAAACATTACTAAAAAAAGTTATTTCAAGCTGTGAATTAAATGTTTCCTGGGGCTTGGAGCAACCTGGGCTATGGAAGGTGTCCCTGCCCATGGCAGGAGTTTGGAATGAGATGAGCTTCGAGATCCCTTCCAACCCAAACCATTCTGTGATTCTGTGATTCTATGATTTCTGGAAGTTTGAGCACCAGTCTTGAACCCTGTGTGATTGACTGACTGAGAAAGGATAAATGGTTCTCATTCCAGAGTTCCCAGGGGCGTGTTACTTTTGGTTCAGTGCTGATAGACTCTGGGAAATGTGTGCATTTCTCTGGCCTGCTAGGACTGATTTTAATATTACCTTGCCACATAAACCTAAGAGAAAGATATGCATGTGGAGAAGCTGGCTTTGACAACCTCGATATCATCAAGGTGAGGAACTAAGTATGATCTTGGCTGACACACTCCATCGAGGCTGCCAGGGCTGCAAAGGAAGCAGGAAACACAGGAGCCTGCGTTCGCATGCCAGTGCTGAAACTGTGCCCAGTCTTCATTCTGAATGCTTTTGGTGAATGTTTTGTAAACATTTCCAGGCATTTCCTAAAAAAAAAAAAAAATGGGGGAGTTGACTCCAAGTAATTTCATCCACCACACATTTTAGATTTGGAGCATCCTTTCAATGAAGGAAGCTGAAGGAGGAAATGAATAACAACACCCCCTGCTTCCCATCCACAGGCATTCCCAGCACTGGAGATGAAAAGGCTTTCCAAGAGGAGGGAGCAGTAACAGAGTTAACCAGAAGTGATAAAGAGGCAGGCTGGAATTTTATGGGGGAAATAAGTGTTGAGATTTTAGAAGTAGGGGATCATGCTCGCGGGGTGAGAAAAGGGAAATGTTTCCATGGTGAAAGTTTGGACAGAGTGAAGACAAAAGATTTGGTCAG